TTCAACGGATGTAATCGTGAGTTTTAGATTTATATTACACAGGAAAGAAGCCAATTGTTATTCTTAGCTGCTTGCAAAAACTATATACACTTTGACGAATGGATTTCATATTCTGGGAAAGCAATTCCAACCCTCGGTGAGCGAACTTAGAAAATCTCCTGCTTTCGAATCCTATTCACGCAACCCTTTAATCTTTAATACGCGCAAGCGCAAACGGACAACAAATTTACTTTATCGGCAGTTCGTATTTGCAACGATCAGTCACCATCCAGTTTGCACAAAGGTTTCACACAGGATCAACAAAAGAATGTTCCACAATAAGTATTATAAAGATGACATGATTTACATCACATATTTGACGCGAAACATTCTAAGCTTACTCGGAATTTGGCCGTCTAATAATAAAAAAGACTCTACCTGCGCGAAAGTCTGGAGGTACTTCTTAATCTCGATCTGTAAAATTCTTCTGTATTGCGTTTTGCTTCCTGGAATCTTTTTCTGGTTAATTGAAAAGAGAACACAAGTTAGAATCCAAACCATTCCTCTGCTTATCTTTGTTTTGATGGGCTGTAGTAAATATATCAATCTGCTATTCCACGAAAAGAAAATCAGACGCTGCTTGGAGCACATCGAGGAAGATTATAAAGTTATTACCAACGCGGAAGCGCGGGACACGATGATTACATCTGCGAAGATTGGAAGACGGTTGGTCTCACTTTGTGCGATTTTCATGTACTGCAGTGGACTTTCCTTTCGATTGATTTTGCCATTTGCCAGGGGAAAAGTCGTCACTCCACAAAACATCACACTCAGACCTCTACCTTGTCCGAGTTACTTCCTTTTCTTTGATGTGCAAGTTAGCCCCACTTATGAGCTGATCTTTGCAATACAAGTATTATCTGGGTTAGTTACTTACTCGATAACAACAGGTTTATGTGGTCTTGCGACTCTCTTCGTGATGCACGCCTGCGGCCAGCTGAAGATCCTCATAAATTTGATGACAAATCTCGTCGAGGAAAAGTGGCATGAAAAACGAGAACTGAATAAGAAGCTGGCAAGAATGGTTGAACATCAAATAAGATTTCGAAGGTAAAAGTTTAAGAGTTTTATTTTTTTATTAAAATCACATACATATATTAAGTGATTAAACGTTTATAATAATTTATTATTTGCTAATCGGTTAACATCAGATACGTGCAGTGTGTAGGTAATTCAAATTTTAATTTTTTAAATATTGATTCGGTGCCGTCGACATTTCAGTTTTTTACAATTGATAGAAAATACTCTATATCAAGCGTGTCTAATAGAATTGATGGGATGCACGATGTTAATCTGCCTT